TTTCTATTGTGAGTATTTCCTTTTCTAAAAAGGGATGATCGGTTCTGGATGTATATCTTCGGACCGTGAGTACCTTTATTTTAAATGCTTTATAAAATTTATATCCTACTGGGCCTTTCGCTCACCTTTTTCTGTTTTTAAATGTATTAAACCCCTCCAGGCGACGCGAGGAGTGGTGTGGAATAGGTAGCTATTACCGGTGGTGTGGACTTGATCTCGGGAAGCAAAGAGTTGTAACCCTTCTATCTTTTATTTCAAGGCATGTATAAGAGATTATGGTTTGTAAACTTAAATGTTGCTAGATTGTGGTTGATGTCACATTTACTTATGTTTATATTCATGTATGCTAAACCCCTGTGGGAATTCCTGACATGATACCAGTGATGTGGTTTTAAAACTGGTTTGGTTGGAAATTCCACCACCGTTCTTGAAATTAAATTTCTCTTGAATGCAGGGGCTCGTTTGGAAATACCTGAATGTTTTAGATTTGAAAGGAATTAAATTATTTTGCTAATCACTCTTTCCCAAACAGGTTTAAGTTTCTAAACGAGCCTCCACGTCACTAACCCCGATTTAGGGGCGTGACACATATCCAAAAATTTAACCATGTTTACCATTATTCCTCTTATGTAGACACATGGAAACATGGTTCGTCCATGTAGAGAACGTTTGGTTCAAGAAGTATGAGTGGATTTAGCTGCCACCATAGCTAACTTACGAGCCAGACTGGAAGCTCAAGAACACGAAAATAGAAATTTACGGGCACAGTTAGAGCAAAGAGCCCAGGAACATGAGCGAAGAAGAGCGCCACCTGTTCAACCTGCACCGCAACCAGAGCCTGCGGTGATGCCAGAATTGGTGCCACAAGCTATGCCGGTTGCTAATTAGGAACCCTTATATGTGCGGTTTCGTAGGATGAAGCCACCAGAATTTGAAGGTTCCACTGACCCACTAGAAGCTGATGAATGGTTAACTTCACCCCAAACGATTTTGGATTTCATGAATCTAACAGAGCAAGAAAAAGTTTTTTATGCTTCGTATGTGTTAAAGAAAGATGCCCGCTACTGGTGGGAGACCGTGGTAATGAGAATAAATGTGGCAATGATGACTTGGCATGAATTCTTGAGGAAATTCAATGCTAAGTACTACAATACTGTAGGTCTCCGAGCTCAACAAAATGAATTCAATAATTTGAAATAAGGTGATATGACTGTTATGGAGGCTTGTTGTAAGTTCAATCGATTGGCAAGGCTATGCCCTCAGCTAGTGCCAACAGAAATGGAAAGGGTGCGACGAATGTTAGTGATGTTTCACCCCGAAATAGCTACAATGGTAGATAGAGGGGAAAGACCACCTATAACAGTGGCGGATTGTGTAGGTAGAGCAGTCCGAGCAGAATATCATTTGGCCCAAGCTAAGGAAGAGAAAGCCAAATTTTGGGAAGCTAAGAAAAAGGATCAAGCCCAAGTAAAGCAAACCTAAAAGGGGAATCAAAAGAATAATCAAGCAGGTCAGAGTAACCAAGCTAACAGAATTGGACAAGTAAATCAACCCCCACAGAGTCGTCCACAGAATAACCAGAACCCGAATAAGAGGAAGAGAAATTTTGATGGAAATCAAAACTTTAATTCCCAAAGTCCACAACAGAGGCAAGATCGTAACACGAATTACTTGAGTGTCCTAAGTGCGGAAAGAAACATTCGGGTGTATGTTGTTATGGAACAAACAATTGCTATACATTTGGCAAAGAGAGCCATTATTCCTAGAACTATCCTCTGAATTCAAATAGACAGCCTATTAGCCAGGCAAACGCGATGCAGATAAGAGTTGAGGAAATGCAACCTCAACAAGATAGAATAGAAGCCCCATTGCAAACCAATGCTAGGTTACTGGCATACACGAGAAATGATACAGAAGCTGACACGTCAAAAGTCATGACAGCTTAGCTTACTATTGCTCAGCACTCAGCATACGCATTATTTGATTCCAGTGCGTCACATTCATTTGCATCATATGGATTTGCTGAGAAATTAAATTATGCTAAGAATAGCATTGGTCAGACATTTAGGACTATCCTGCCTTCTGGGAAAATTCTATTGTCTGAATTTAGGCTAGAGCATGTACTGATAGTCATAGCTAATAGGGAGCTATACACAGATCTAGTCGTATTAAAGATAATCGACTACGACGTCATCCTAGGAATGGATTTCTTAGGAAAATATCAAGCTACTATTGATTGTCATAATAGGAAGGTGATTTTCTAACCCGATGGGGAAGAAACTTTTGAGTACGTTGATCGCTCTAAGCGTACCCCCAGACAAGTAGTTAATGCAATGAAAGCAAGAAAATTACTTACTAGTGGTTGTGAAGTATATTTAGTACATATTGTGGAGACGACTAAAACTGATAAGTTGCAACCAAAAGATGTGCCGATAGTTCAAGATTTTCTGGAAGTCTTTTCGGAAGAATTACCAGGGTTGCCACTAGAACGTGAGATTTCGTTTGAAATTAACCTTTTACCTGGAACGGCACTGATTTCTAAGGCTCCTTATAGAATGGCTCCAACAGAACTTAAGGAGTTAAAAATGCAACTGCAAGAATTAATGGACAAAGGATTTATCCGATCAAGTTATTCACCTTAGGGAGCCTCTGTATTGTTTGTAAATAAGAAAGATTGCACATTGAGAATGTGTATTGACTATCGTGAGCTCAATAAGGTCACGATAAAGAATAAATATCCTCTACCCAGGATCGATGACTTATTCGACCAACTCAAAAGGGCGGCAATATTCTCAAAGATTGATTTGCGATTTGGATACCACCAATTGAAGATTAAGGAACAATATATACCAAAGACGACTTTCAGAACGCGTTATGGACACTACAAGTTTCTTGTGATGCCGTTTGGACTAACTAATGCCCCAACAGCTTTTATGGATTTGATGAATCGTGTCTTCTTGGATAAATTTGTTATCATTTTTTATCGACGACATACTAATTTATTCAAAGAATTAAAGGAACATGAAGAGCACTTGAGAATTACCCTTCAAATGCTAAAAAGACATTAGCTATATGCTAAATTCTCCAAGTGTGAATTTTGGCTCAATGAAGTTCATTTCTTGGGACATGTGGTCTCGAAAGACGGAATCTGAATGGATCCATCAAAGATTGAAGCTGTTAGTAAGTGGCCCGCACCAAGAAACGTAACAGAGATTCATATTTTCTTAGAGTTGGCTAGGTATTACAGGAGAATTGTAGAGGGTTTTGCAAAACTAGATGCATCACTCACTACCTTTACACGAAAAGAAAATAAGTATGAATGGACTGAGAAGTATGAGGAAAGTTTTCAAGAATTCAAACGAAAGCTAACTATTGCACCAATCCTTACTATCCCAAAGGATGGAGAAAACTTTTACGTATACAACGATGTTTCCAAACTAGGGCTGGGAGCAGTACTGATGTAAAATGGAAAGGTAATTGCGTACGCGTCTAAACAATTGAAAACTCATGAGAGAAACTATCCTACTCATGATCTTGAATTGGCCGGCCACCTTTGGATGTCACATGGCTAAATCTCAGCCCTTCATCCAATTTTCACTTTTAATCTTAACCATTGATAATTTAATAATTATCCTATTTTGGTTCAGTTTAATTCTTATCCGGTACTCGTTTTATCCGCATTTTTCAGACAGTTAGTCAACTTAGTCAACCTTGACCATTCTTGACTAACTTTTTGAGGGTGACATTTTGGTCGACTCTCTGTCAACAAATTTTGACTTGGTCAACTCAAATCAGCCGAAACCCAATTTTCTCAGTTCGGCCTTCCGAACCCTTATTTCTTCTGTTTTCTCGTTCCGATCGTTTCTAAAACCCTAGAATTGATGCCTTTCAATTTTTTTCCATTTCTTAAACTTATCATTCATGTGTTTACCCACTTGTGGGCTTAACACAACTTTCCATACTTCTTTCTTAAATACAGTCTGAAAATCAGTAACTGTGTTGTAGTTCAGAAATTTCTGAACTTTAGCTTATAACTTGCTATTCTATACTTATATCAACAAATACTTATCATAACAGTATTCATATTAATGATACAAAAGATTCTAGGAAATATTATCCTATACAAGAATTCTTATAAATTTCTCGGTCATGACAATCACCCCTCCTTAAAAATTTTCGTCCCCGAAAATCAGAACAAATGGGGGTACTTCATTCACATCTCATCTTCACGTTCCCATGTTGGTTCTTCCACTTTTGATTCCTCAACAGTATCTTTACAAGTGGAATACTTCGATTCCGAAGACGCTTCTCTTCTCGTGCAAGTATTTGCACCGGTTGTTCCTCATAAGTCATGCCTTCGTGAATCTGAATCGGTTCATGTTCTATAATATAGGATGGATCGAGTATATACTTCTTTAACATTGAGACGTGGAATACATTATGTACCACGTCTAATTCCGGCGGTTGATAGGCTACTTTCTCTATTCGTTTGATAATCTGGAAAGGTCCTATATACCTTGGGCTCAATTTGCCTTTCTTGCCAAAACGCATAACACCTTTCATGGGTACGATCTTCAAGAAGACTGAATCTTCTTCACTAAACTCCAATGGTCTTCTACGCTTATCAGCATAGCTTTTCTGACGGTCATGTGCCGTCTTCATCTTTTGATGAATTTTCTGGATAGATTCAACCGCCTCCTGAATGAATTTTGTCTTATGTAATTGCTTCTCCCTAGTTTCATACCACTGAATGGGAGATCTACACTTTCTTTCATACAAAGCTTCATATGGTGGCATACCGATTGAAGCTTGATAACTGTTGTTATACGAGAATTCAATAAATGACAGTTTCTTATTCCATGCTCCTTTAAAATCCATCACACATGCTCTAAGCATATCTTCTAAAGTTTAGATGGTACGTTCCGATTATGCATCAGTCTGAGGATGAAAAACTGTGCTAAATCTTAATTCTGAGCCCATGACTTCTTGTACACTCTTCTAAAACGTTAAGGTAAAGTGGCTATCCCGATCTGAGACAATGGATAAAGGTATTCCATGCAGTCTAACTATGTTGGTGACGTAACACTCTGCTAACTTTTTTAGGGTATACGTCACTTTTATGGGTACAAAATGGGCAGATTTAGTCAATCTATCAACAATTACCCATATTGCATCATAACATTCACTTGTTTTGGGCAGTCCCACCACAAAATCCATGGTTATATGCTCCCATTTCCATTCCGGAACATCTAAAGGTTGCAACTCTCCAGCTGGATGTTTATGCTCTGCTTTAACCTCTTGACATGTTAAACAACGACTAACGTAGTCCACGATGTCATGTTTCATGTATCTCCACCAAAAGTGTTATTTTAAATCTTGATACATCTTAGTCGCTCCTGGATATATCGAATAAGAGGTATTATGAGCTTCAGAAAGAATTTAACTCTTAAGATTTTCATCTTTTGAAACACAAATTCTTCCTCGAAATATGAGTATTCCCTTATCAAAGGCTTTGAACTCTGTCTTTTTTCCTTTCTCAGCTTGAGGTCATGTTTGAAAAATGATATTTAGAATACTTTGTAAGAAATATTTAAATTGAAACATAAAGAACAAATTAAAAAAAATATAAATTATTGAGGATAAGACTATAAATAACAAACATAGAAGTTTAACTTGATTTTGATTACATTACTTTGTTTCACATGACCCGGTTATTCACACCGCAATAAGAGAGCCAAAAAAAAAAAAAAAAACAAACAAACAAACTTAAAGATAGTTGAGCACGCTTTCTCACGCATAACTCTATCTCTCGGCACAAAATCACCAAAAAGCCCAAGGCAACATAAACTGAAAAAAATCAAGACCGATGGCAAAATCGTACAAACATACCAAAGCCCAGTTGAAATTCTCAAAAGCCCCGCACCCAACAAAAGAAGAGAAAAAAGAAAAAAGGGCAAGACAGACATTTCACAAAAAAAGGGCAAAAAGAAACGTACACTGTTCAAAGAACAGTAACTCCACTACCTACCTATTATAGTATATAGTATAATATATACTCTATTTATCTTATTACCCCCAATTCCCCTTCTAAGTTCTAACTATCACATGCCGAAATAAGATTTTTTTATTTTTTTTATTTTTTAAAATTACTCCTATAAATGATATTTATAATGCATTATATTGGTACAGCTCTCCATATAGACGTTGGTTTTAAATTCCAATGGACTAATCTATATTAATTATTCAAGACTTTAGGACAAAGTATCTCTCTCTCCCTCTGTTAATGATCCACCATAGTTTTTCATGTCCTTAATAAATTTATATTCTGATAATCCATTCCAAAATCAAGACTGATAAAAAACGCTGAATATCTAATGATTGTGGGTCCAAACATATTTGGTGCAAAGTGGATCATGCATCTCCCAAAACACACACACATGTATATATTTTTAGGAACTTACCAACTCGTTTTTGTTTACATAGTCTTTCAAATCTGTGGTGGTCTTGTATATTTTAATTACGGAAATAGTAGAAAATATGCCAATATGAAAAGTTTAAGAAAGTATATAGGCTAATTTTTAGTTATAAAAATTAATATGTCATAACTTGTCAAGTTATGATTCATAACCAGATAAGTTATAGACAAACTTATCAAGTTATGGTTCATAGCCAGACAAGTTATGGACAAAAATCGTGAATTATGGATAATAACTTGTCAAGTTATGGTTCATAACTAAACAAGTTAAAGACGAAAATAATAATTTAGCCTATATATTAACTTATATAAACTATTAACTTATTAATTTTAATTCATCTCAAGTCTTGACTTATTTTTTTCTTTCTCCATTTTAATTATCATAGTTGGCTCTTTATTACAGTTTTGATGAACTGACCAACCCCACAAAAGTAAGATTACTATGGGCAAAGAGCTTTTAAATCTCGATTCTCAAGCCATCCTTTTATAAGTTTGGGTGGCTTTTTTAAATAATTTAAATATCAATTCTCAGGTCGTCATTTTCCAAGTTTTGGTTGTTTACTCAACCGTTAGGCCACTGTTACATAAGTCTATTCTAGGAGGAAGGGCCGTAGGGAATTTTACAGGAAAATGCGGAAATATGGAAAATGAGCACTAAGGTGTCAAGTTGTTACAAGTTTATTAGGGGAGAGAATATTTAGGAAGTTTAGTAGCGTGGGAACGAGTTGTCTGTTCATCGAGAAAATACTGTTAGCAGACCATTGGAAGGAAGGAAAACCTCGAATTTTTTTATTATTTTTTGTTATTTTCTTACTTCTTTGTGAATGGAATTTCTCTCTTATGAGAGATGTAAGTGAGATAAATAAAAGGAACTTGACCAATTTTCAAGTTATTTCCTCTGTCTATTGTTAATTTGTTAATGTGTGTTGGTACCTAATATCAACCCCCTCAATTATAACATGGAACACAATCCATTCTAAACATATACTCTCGTGATGGGCACATATATAATTACACGCCCAACTTTTAATTGTATTTTTCTTTTGTTATTGATTTGACTATAGCCTAATCCTTGTCGGTTCAATGTGACAATCGATAAATATGATTTATCATTTTTGACTAAATTCATCAGAAGATTACATGAAAAGTGGGGCACACAAAGTGATTCCCCTAATATTGGATTTCCCCAGTTACAAATCTCCGTGATCACCCTGTGTAAATCTTGTATTTAATTATTTTGGTTTTTCTTTTTTTCCTTTTAATACTTTGCCTTGTTCATTTTATCAATTTGAGTTTAGAATTCGAGTTTTGCTACAGTAAAAAACTCTCAGAAATAGTCACATTTAACTTTTTTGTTACAGTAAAAAGTTCTTACATAAAATCACATCTCAACTCGAATCAGCGAACTAAACCGAACCATCTAGTGGAAATGTTCAAGCTATATGTCCGGAGCCCACGCTTTATTTCTAACCCAAGGTGTAAGAGGAGCCCAGTAAGTTTTGTTTGGTAGGCTTTTTTGAAGGAAAATCTTCCACATATTTACGGGGTTGGGTTGGAGATACTGTGGGCCTGTTTAGTTCGCTGATTCGAGTTTTTAATTCGAGTTGAGATGTGACTTTATGTGAGAGCTTTTTACTGTAGTAAAAAAGTTAGATGTGATTGTTTGTGAGAGCTTTTTACTGTAGCAAAACTCGAATTCTAAACTCGAATCAATGAAATGAACGATGTCACAATAGGCCGTAGGTCTCATACTCCGGACTTTTGGTACTTCCTTCTCCGGGCTTTTTTTTCTTTTTTTTTTTTTTTTTTTTTTTTTTTTTTTTTTTTTTTGTCATGGGAAATAGTGTTCTCTTTAATAAGCTTATGTTAATCGATTCTGGAGTAAACTAGGTTGTATACCATTTTTGAAGTCTAGTTATTTATTTATACTGTAGTGTATTTGAATTCCAAATTCGTAAAAGTGATATTCCTCTAATTCATTCAAGTTATTGCGCATTTAGTTGTGGTTTCATGTTATGGCCATTTAGTTGACCACAAAGTCATCTAAAATTTTTGAGAAAAATAGGAAATGTGGCCTCCCTGACTCACCTCTTTAATTTTTTGTGTTACTCTATTGTAAATTCTGCTCCTTTTAAAATAATTTATAAAGGAAGTAAGTGAGGCAAAAGATCTTATTATAGAGTTTTAAAAGAGGCGTAAATCTTTATGCTTTCTCAGAGAATTCTTCTAGATTTCCCAAAGCATTTCCCCTTCAGTGAAAGGAAAATAGCAGATAATTTATTTATGGTGAAATAAATATACAAGTGTCATAACTATTTAGCCTATGAAATATGAAATATGCATTCAATTAGACATCCTTTGAGTCAAGTAGTATATGCATTGAAAAATGCCGATTGGGTCGGGCTTCAGAAATGGGGCGTATTGCTCAAATCATTGGTCCGATACTTGGATGTCACTTTTCTACCGGGTAAGATGCTTAATATTTACAGCGCTCTGGTAGTTAAGGGTTGAGATACTGTTGGTCAATAAATTAATGTGACTTGTGAAGTACAATAATTATTAGGAAATAATGGAGTTAGAGCTGTAATTATGAGTGCTACAGATGGTCTAATGCGAGGAATGGAAGTGATTTGACACAAGAGCTTACATATCAAGCACGATGAAGCTGTGACACAATACAATCTTTTTTTCGGCCGGACAAAGTAAACATTAGTTTATAGCTTGGTCTATGTTTACTACAACACGGAGGATTAAGAAGGGCAGGGTCGTGCTCATATTTTTAATTTTAGGTACACTAGGCTAACACGACATAAACAAAATCTAAGCACGACACATCTTTTTGAGCATGATGATCGCCGACCTAGCGACTTAAATATAGTGATGATAATCGACAACAAATTATTAATAAACGAACAAAGTAAAAAACGACAATAAAGCAAATGTAAAAGAGGAAACGACCAAAAAAAAATGTTAATTGGAATTAAAGACTGACAAGGTACAAAGTCAAAAACGACAGTGAAGTGAATTTAAAAGTGAAACTACAATGAAATGAAAACCAAAGATAAAAGAAATTAAAATAACGACGACAGCAAAATTGGAGACCAACAAAACACGACAGAAAAATGGAAAGCAATAATAAAATGAACGGCGGCAATAAAAAGGGAAAACGGCAAGTCTAGCTATAAAAAGAACACAAATAAAGAGACGACAGTGAAATGGAAAATTACGACAAAGCAAACTATAATTAAAATAAAAACAAAAGAAAATCAAACTAATAAACGACACATTGAAACTAACAACCAGGTGGAAAGACGACAACAAAAACAAGTAAGCGACAAATGAAAACAAGGAAACAAAAACGCAAACGACAACAAAATGAAAACGGTTATGAAACGGAAAACGGAAAAATTTTAAAAGACGATAAAAGTGAAGAAAAAAATATAAAGAAAAGCAAACGACAGGAAAAGGAATGATAAGACAAACAAGTAACATAATCATACAAACGACAGAGAAAGATACGCACGACAACAATTACAAAATTATCACAAAAAAAATAACAACAAACTGAAAACGACCAAAGCTATTGGATTAATTAGGAAGATGACGTTCGCGATAGGCCTTTTTGATTTTGATTTTTTTCCTTCTTTTCTCGGAACTCGGAACCAATTTAGAGAAGGAAGTTACATTAATGATACACCATTTTTGGATACAAAACAGCTGTATTAGATAATAATTCTTACCATGAGTTGAGGAGGATGTGAGAGTGAGTTCTTTTTTTTTTGGTCTGTGGAAAGAGAGTGATATAGTTTATTGACCCCATTTATTTCACCGATTCGAGTTTTATTATAGTAAAAAAATTTAAAAAATAATC